CAAATGATTCTTTGTAAGGTGAAATCCTTTGTCACATCTTCCCAACCAAAAAACTTGAACCAGAAAGATAACTCAGACATGGCTTTTTCTGCCATAGATCTGGACACAGCCCTTTTGTGAAGGACCAGAATATACATAAGCAATGCCCAACACCTGTCCTGGTGGGTTAGTAAGGGTCCCATAAGAATGTTGGACATGGATGCTCCTCCCTCACCACCCTGGGAGCCAATGTTTGAAAGTGTTCCCAATCGTAACGAGAAAAGGCATCCACAATCACATTCACCTTCCCACGAGTGTGGTTTGCTTTAAACCAGACGTTTAACTGTAAATATGTAGGAACTAGAAAAAGTAAAGGTGAAGCCACTGGAGGTGTACTAGTTGACTGACGATTAATGACATGAACAACAGCCATGTTATCTGTCAAGAAAAGTACTCGCCTATATTTATTATTTCCTCCCCCAACTCAATGGCTTCCAAAATGGGGAAAAATTTGAATAGTGTGTGAGGTCGGCCAGACAGAAACACACCACTCACCCTGAACAAGGCCCTATAGTCAGCCACATCAGTGTAAAACTCCAGCTCTAAATTGTGACCAGAGCGACAAGCCATGCTTCAGGAGCCCACATGTCGCAGCCACGCTCCTCTTGCTGCCACCAATAGTTTTCCTAGTAGAGCTTTGGCTCAAATAAGAAGGCGGTCTAGATTGTTTCGAACAGACAACTCTCTGTGATTCCCCTGGGTCAGGTGACTCAATGCAGCAGGGTAAGGTTGTTCATAGGTCAGGAGGGGAAGAAGCCCTAATGCCTCACCTCTCTCAAGGAGTTGTCTACAATGCTGTACAATACTTTCTGTATTCATGTCAAATGTACAAGAGGATTTAACCGAACCCAGAAGAATCGTCAAGGCTGCATACAATCTTCTGGGCTGTAAGGATACCCATCTGCTGCAGGGGTTCCAGTGAGTGTGACCCCCTGTGCGAACTCTCAGCTTTTATCTCCTACTTCAGGCAATATACAGTATTCCCCCAATCAATTATCCAATAACAGGCAAAAACACTTAGGGGAATATACTACATACTGTATATGGCATGCTCCCAACAGTTAAGATGCCTTGACACTGTAGCTCAGGACTCATACATGAGTGAGATTTTTATTTCACCACAAAAAGCTAATTCTCCAGTATACATGCCTCCAATGAGACATTGCACAGTGTGCACAAACCTACGCTGTCCTCCTCACCCAACTATTTTATCCTAATTCATGGATAAGGAAGTAATTTCCTCATCCTTATTTAGAGAATTACACATAATGGAAGAAATATGACATTCATCACATGACAATAACAAATCTTATACCTCCGCTCACCTGTGCTGAGATCAGCCAGGCAGCAAAATTGTGAGATTTGCTGACTCTGCTATCTCTCTACTATCTGTGTCACTGCGACTATGTGCCCTCCCATACTTTCCTTTTTCGCTGTGTCTCTGTTCTCCCTTTTTTTTGTGTGTTACTGCCTCTGCCACCTTAAAGTTTATTCATATTCTCTGTTACACTATGCCTTTCTGGTACACATATTGCCTTATACTTATGTATTATACACACCTTATATTTACCTCATATTTCTGTATTACATGCAGTGCCTAATGTCTCTGTTACACACATTGCCTTAACCTTTGTCTATTACACCCAGTGCCTAATTACATCCAGTGTATAATTTTTCTCTATTACACATGGTGCCTTGTACCTTTATGTTATACACAGTGATTCTTATCTTTTTATGGCACGCAGTGCTTCATACCCGTCTAATACACAATGTCCCTTATACACTCCCTTATTACACACACCACCCCTCCCGATGCTTCTCTGTTAGGTGGAGTGCTTAATGCCTCTCCCTTGGATTCAGTACCTTATGCCTCTCTTTTACACACGGTGCCTTATATGTTTCTATTACAGGCAGTGCTGCAAATTCTTTTTTGAGTTCATTAGAGTCACATCTCTGCAATCATATTTAGATATCCCATTTACAAGGTCTTTGTAATATCAGGCAGTCTATCTCTTCCTCTTTAAACACTTAAATACGGCAAATTTCAGGAATGGGCTTATTGATTCAGTAATAACTTTGTCATTACTTATGATACTCAAAGTATCATAAGAAACACATATATCATTTTCTCTGAGACAAAGAAGAAATATTGTCTTGCCAAAATTATTTTATTTTCTATGTATTGTAAAGGGAAAATGGAATAAAACTAAAAGGGTAAATAAAAATAACTTTAAAAAAGCAACACAGTTCACAACACAATGTTTGATTAAGTAAGGGTTTACCCCCCGGCTGGGGAGGGCATAGCTGGCTCTGCCCCTAGATAGACAGAGCCTGCTGTTGATTTTGACAGTATTGTTGGGATCGCTCTCAGGGCGCTCTCAGCATTTGGGTTCACGTTTTGGGTCACGGGAGGACATTAGTACATGTCCTCCCATGACCCTAAAGAGAACTATGGGATAAAAATGTTATCCCATAGTTCTCTTTTAACTGATAAGCCCCTCCCAAATAAATACCCCCATTTTTATCTTTCCCTCTCTACTCAACCTCTCCTTTTCTAAAACTCCATGCAACAATGCATTTTTTTGGTCTTGTGGCCTTTCAGCTCCCTTAGTCTATACTAACTGTTGATTCTTTAGAGGTCTGTGGGAAAACTGACATCCAGGAAGAGGGTGCTGTAGGAGAAGAAGGCATGGAAGTGTGAGAGGAGTTGTTGTCATATAGGTCAGGGATATATTCATATCGGCCTCCTATTTTCATATTGGCCTCCTACCTCTTCTCAAAACGATTTAGGCCCTTTTTTTTTTTTTTGCTTTGGGGGTCACTATATTTTTTTTAGTTTTCATTTAACTTTTCAGAAGTACAGAAACCAAACAATACAAAGTTACAATAAAAAAAAAACAAGTCGCAGTGGTTGGTCCAAAGTTAAAAAGACATAAATAGATCGGGTTAGTGGCCTAAACAATTATGGCGTGGGGCTACAAGCTACAGGTCATAGGTAGGAGAATCATCAATCAAGTGCACATAAATGACCTATACGGTTTCTCAAGCTATAAAATACGATTTGGGCTTTTTAGAGTTCACCTATACTCTGTACTCACGTTCCCATGAGTTCTGATAATAATTGCTTTAAAGAGTTTGAAATACTTAAAATGTCACTAAAGTCATACAACAAAGTTTCATATTTTCTTCAGCATTCTGTTTGAATAGATGCTGAGAACGACTTTCACATACATTTCAATGATGCCTTTGTCCACATTTTATTCTGCCTACCTAATATCTCCCATTGTAGTCACACATGTAGAAGCACCATGCTTAGAATATAGTACACTTTTTTACTGCTCCCTCACAGCTCCACCCCTCCTCCTTAATGTCCTGACCACATCCCCACCCATTTATTTACTTCCTTAGCCCTTTCCTACAGCCTGGAGCCCTGCTGCATGTGACATGTGGTGCAAGGTATTGTGGGAGATGACCCAGAAGCATAAAAAACCATCAGAAGCTGCTACTCAGAAAATGCAGGAATATTTCAAGTTTTAGGGCCGGTTCACACCATTCCGGTCCAGTGCAATCACAAAAAATAGTGCTTGCAGCATGTTTTGAGATTGCACTGGACAAGAACGCAGGCATTGTTTTGCCACGTGTTCTGGTACAGGTGATTGCAGTGCGGGCGGTAGGAGGTGGCTGTGGTGTCATTTACTTCAATGCAACGCCAGCCGGGATGCGTTTCAGTGCGTTCCAGCAGCAAATTGTGCTGGAAAACATCGGAGCTGGTGTGAACCGACACTAAAAGTAAGAAAATATTTTGGAGAACAATAACAAAGCTTTTTTATTTATTTCCCAATGTTTTATCTGAATACCTAATGCAATGCTGGTGCATTTACATCTCCTTTAACCCTTAAATCTCTGGGGTGTCATTGGCAGTGCCAGGGCACCGCCAATGATACTCCAATGTTGTCTCTGCCCTGTGAAAGGATCAGGCAGATTTGCTGTTTGGTTGACTTTGCATAAAGACAGTTTCTTCCACAAAGACACTGTTTTAAATTCCCTTATGGTGATAATGTGGCTGGCAGCTGAGAGCAGAAGAATACTGCAAACTCAGTGTGGCTGTAGGTATTTCAGCTCTCTCTATCCTTTAGAAGTACTTCAGGGGATGTTTATATGTAAAAAATTTTAGAAGAGTATAGGTAGGAATCATCTAGCACTGAGCTGACGTCTATAAGCAAATCAGGTTGGTTGCTATGGGTTACTACACTTTGTGCTGTTTTATTAGATATACCCTTTTCTTTTTACATTAAAAGGAGAACTATGGGGCCAGGGCTTTTCCCCATAGTTCTCCTTAGGGTAACGGGAGGACACAAACTAGCGTCCTCCCGTTACCCTAAGCTCAGTATACCGCAAGCTACAGCTCGCGGTATACTGAGACGCCGCAGCCGGAGCGGATCCCGACATCGATGTCGAGATCCGCCCATCTGCGTGAGTGACAGCTGGCTCTGCCTATCTAGAGGCAGAACCAGCTTTACCCGCTCCCTCCCCTGTCAGTTCCGCCAGTCAGCGCTGGCGGATCGGTGCGGGGAGGGGGGAATCCAGCCCCTCCCCTGTCACGGCAGAGAGCCGTGACAGGATCGAGAGGTGAGCGAACGCCGCTATATGTTCGTTCACCTCCCGATCTACTGAGCCGACCTGTGACAGTCTCATTGTCACAGGTCGGCTAGAACTATGAGGTGAGTGAAAAGCACTCACCTCATAGTTCTCCTTTTAATGTATAGAAATTGAAACTTTTTAAATTAAAAAATAATCATAATACAAAACTGCCATTAAATTGGACCAAAAGTCAATATTTATTTTAGAAAAGTGTTCAAAGAGTACTGAAATACTCACCTTTTTGCTGGGGCGGACTTATATTTATTTTAGATCCACTTTTATTTTACAGTAAAAAGAGTTAAATTCCCTTTGACACCTTTTTATTGATTTCTGCTGTTTTTCATGTCTGCTTGCTTTGGATATTGGGGGGGAAGTTTGTTTCTGAAGGTTTTTCTGATAGCGTTTTTGACCTCCTGGTTTCTTAGTGTGTAGATAATAGGATTTAGTAGAGGTGTCAGTACTGTATACAGTACAGACACCAGCTTGTCTGCTGCATAGTTAACCGGTGGCCTCAAATAGATAAATACAGATGGTCCAAGAAAAAATGTAATAACTAGGAGATGGGAAGCACATGTAGAGAACGCTTTACGTCTCCCTTCTGATGAATGAATCTTTAAGATTGTGGTTATGATTCCAAGGTAGGAGAACAAGAGCACACAAAAGCAGCTGAGTGAAATCATCCCACTGTTGGCTATAATAAATATATCAATAAAGAAGGTGTCAGAACAGGCCAGTACAGCTAGTGGGTGGACATCACAGAAGAAGTGGTTAATCTTGTTTGGACCACAGAATGGCAGCTGGTAGGTGAGAAAAGCTTGAGTGAAAGAATGCAAGAAACCTGCCAGCCAAGTAAATGCCACCAGCCAACAGCACAATTTGTAGTTCATGACAATATGATATCTGAGTGGATTACAGATAGCTACATAGCGGTCATATGCCATGACAGTCAGAAGGAAACATTCTGTGCCACCAAATAAATGAAGGAAGAATAGCTGGGATATGCAGTGGTTAAACAAGATAGTCTTTTGATTTGATAAGACATTAATCAGCATCTTTGGGATGGTGACAGATGAATAACACATGTCCAAGAAAGACAAGTTGCTGAGAAAAAAATACATAGGTGAGCGCAGACGTGGATCAACATGGACCGCTGTGATAATGAGAAGGTTCCCTGATAAAGTCATTACATACAGGGCCAGAAATAAGACAAAGAAAATAATCTGAAATTCATGTAAATGGGAGAGACCACTAAGTGTGAATTCTTTAACCGAGCTTTGATTTTGAAGATACATCTTTTTGTTACTCAGCCTAATAGTGAATGGGGTCAATAAAAATGTATAAAGAAACAGTCTGATAAGTACAATAGAAAACATACAAACAATACTTCCCGTATTCAAGACCACTTACTGTTGTTCTGTCTTTGTACCAGGTGACTGGTCTTTTATTCACCCTTCTATAGGTTTTTGCATGGAGCCTATAGTGGGCCTGCTGGGTTCTTCTTACAGCTCTGCTCTCTACACAGGTTATTTGCAACACAGCGATCTCACTGCTATTTAAAAATGTATTTAAGATAAAAACTGAGTTACCAAACTCATGGAAAGGCATTTGGTGCACACAATAAAGTTTTTGTGCCCAGAGTTCAGCTTTACTTCTCTTCAGACAGTTTCCTAATACAGACAACCTTGCTGAACACTATACAATTTCCTGACCATTTACCTTTGTTTTAGTCAAAGCAATATACTGTAGCTTGGTCAAAGCTGTGACTGGATCCTGAACAAACAGCAGATGATTATTGAGGTCATCTCTTTGATCACTCCTCAAATGAGGAAATTCTATCTCTTGGATTCCCAGCATTGTGCATTTCAGTAAAGCCTGAATGGCCAACAGTGCTTAAAGTGTATCTAAGCCCAAAAACAATAATCTCAAATGTTGCAAATGTTACCTGCCCTTACATAGGATGTCTGCATTAGTTTACCTTTTTTCAGGCTAAGTACATTTTCTGCAAGTGCCCAAAAATGTCTATTGATTCTGCCAGAAATCTATTATCTTTATAACTTTCTGTGTACTGAACTGTAATCTCAACCAATGTAATTAACCTTTTGAGCTATCTTCTGTGAAATATAAAACAATGTCCTCTATGTAATGTAGATGGGAAGAGGGGGTGTTTGTAGTCCAGATCAGGAGAGCAACCAAAGGGCTCAGTGGGCAAGTGTTGTCACCCTAGAATAAAAAAGTGTTAAATTAACAGGATCACCAAGTGAAAATAAAATAAAAACAAAAACAAAAAAGAAAACAGCCACCACATCTAATAACTGAAATGTTGATATATATATA